TAAGCTAGAGAGTCGCGAGAGCTAGCTGGAGTTGTCATGGATGGCGCAATCCTCAAAACATTAGAGGCTCACACACGATATCGTCGAGATATAGTAAAGACTCTGGAAGACGTAGAAAACTTCGGCGATAACGACGAGTTCGAAGCATTCTTCCTTGTTCTGTAGGCGTCCACAAAAGGGATGCTAGTGACTCTGAAACTGGCGGTTGGAGAATGTTAGATAGTACGCCCCGGAGAGTTGGGGTGGAGATGGGAAATGATGAGCCTATGTAGGAGGATATGGGAAGAGGAACTCGCGCAAAGGAGATGGAAGTTCGCGAGATGGAGCGGACTGCGTGAGCATGAAGTCGAGAAGGTTGTGCGATGCTTGAGCGAGATTGGTAGAAAGGAAATATTTCTATACGAAGTTGTCAAATACAAGGTGGCGAATAGTGGCTGGGAAAGAAACCAATTTTGTGTTATGACTGTGTACTTCCTTGACTTACATACGCATCATATTGGGATATACCTACAAAGAGAGGGAGAGGAATTCTGCAGATATTCGAGGTGTTGGAGAATAGCAGCGTGGAAGCTTGAGGAGGAGAAAGAGAGATTGGAGAAATTAGGCGAGCTTGTCAACTCGAGCGACGACATCTTCATCTTTGACGTTCTGCCTAGGCCACCAGCCCCAAAAGAAGGACGGGAACGCAATGGTTGGGAGACGATCGTAGATCTTGCAAGGACCTTCAGGGTTGAAGGTCGGTGTAAGAAGTCGACTTAGTAGGAGTTAAAGGAGATATAGGGAGCATAGGTAAAAACTAGGTCCGGGTTGTCGGTTCTGACATTAGATCTAGGCTGCTACCTGACATTTGCTCCAGGATGCCAATTTTGATATTAGGTGTTGCAAACTCTTCGAACAAATGCATCATTTGGGGAGGAGTTAGGGTACATGGAGTTAGACACGATGGGGACACACCCGACTATGGATCATCAGACCAGCATGTACCGATCGAGCTCTACGAGACCTCAAGGAGCTTACCAGGCAGAATGCGCCTCTTAGATGCGTTGATCAACCTACGATGGCGAGCCCGAGGTGATGGGCGGGCCGATCGTCGCAGAGACGGATAGGACGGCTTCGATGATAGGGATGGAGAACATAACGGAACCTCCGAGGTTTCGACGAGAGATGATTGGTCGGCGCTCACCTACATACGAACGGAGAGAGCCTAGAGGGGATAGGCGCAGGGATGACTAGAGGGACCAGTATGTCCGGGAGCAGTCTTGGAGGGACAGAGACATACCATCTGAGAGGACACGTCCTCGATGGATCTACGATCCGCAGACAGGCGAATCGTATACGCTCCCTTACGAGAGGAGGGGCTGATACATCGTTTCGCACCAACCCACGGAGGTGGACACCAGTCCACCTCTTTTTAGCGGGTATGGTATCACGGAGTACCTTGAGAAGTCGGAGCTGCATGCATATCTCAACCAGTGGTCGGAAGATGAGATTATTGACAATTTTTTGTTCAACTCGGATCCAAGTTGAGCAAATAAATTAAAGAAGCTAGACCAAAGGATAGAAGGTGGACTACTTACAAGGCGAGTCTCTATAATCTCTTCAAGCTAGAAGACATCAAGTATTTTGTTAAACCACTTGTACCTCCCAACATGTTTTTGCCAACCCTGGATTTCACTGCGCACTGACAGTTGTCGAGCCTGGGTCCCATTGTGTTTTCTTTTATGCTTCTCTTCAGAAGAAAAAAAAAAAAAAAAAATCAACTACGCTAGGGACATGAAAGCAGTCGGATGCAGATTCTGGGGTACATGTGAGAGCACCTTCAACGGGCGTTACAACTCTACTGAAATCACGGTAGCAGGAACAAACAAATGAAAAAGCAAAAATTCAGCAACAACTCTTTGGATGTGAAAGCAGCTAGATACATAATCTGGAGTACCTGAAACAAATGAAAAACAACAAAAATTCAACGGCCATTGCAGCCCTTCTGTAATCACGACAACAGGAAAAAAAGAAAGAAAAAGAAAACAAAAAAGCAATAACACTTTGGACGTGAAAGCAATTGGATACAGAATCTGGAGTACGTGTGAGAATGCACCCCCCGTTGCGAAGTGTCAGCTGCCCGTGGAATGCGCCTTGCCTCTCGTTGGCAGGGCACTAAACGCGGATCACCAAAAAAAGAAAGCAAAACAGATACAAAAATTGAAACTGGCTATGTTTCTGGGTAGATGTGTTCCTTTTAGTTCTGATGTGAGCACATCTTCTTCACGGCCTTCCCCGACGTCCTTCCTTTCTTTCTTTTCTTCTTTTTTTTCTTTTTTTTGGTAATGGGAAATACAACTGATGCCGAGCCTGTAGTAGGAAAATGGGAAAACATCCACTTTTCCCTAATTTCCCAACACTGGTGGAGGTACTAGTGGTAAGTTTGGGAAGCGATTCCAAAAGATATCTGATGCCCGAATCACAAAAGGGAAGTTGTCGGAGCTCGACCGATGCAAACTTACCTTGCCACACGAGGAAGTGCTTGTGGCTGCCTCCTATCTAGAGGGGAGTGCAGCAAGATGGTTGAGTGGTTTAGTGCAGTTGCAGGGACTTCCTCGAGATGGTGGAAGACATGTGGCATGATCCTCAGGAGGCTCAAAAGGCCACGGACGCGATGCTGACTTTGCACAACAGGCATTTTAAGTCAGTAAGAGAGAGGTCATCGACGTAGTAGAGCGTCTAATCTGTGTCCCTAGGGTGCGCTATGACCCCCAAGTCTTACTCACCTCCTACCTGAGATGTTTTCCTATGCGTCTCAGGAACTAGTTGGCAGGTGAGGCCAACATCAACATGCACAACTTACCTCATTCAGCAAGATTGCCCTAGACCAAGAAGCCAAGATAGGGCATGGACAAACACCCACGACAGATGGTAGGAAAAAGTCACCGCCTCCCAACTGGAAGGCGAAGGGACGCATCATGTTCGTCGAGAACGATGGTTCTACCATCGAGTTGGATGATAACTTTCAGGCGGGAGAGGGTACAGAGGCAGGGAGCGCAGAGGCTTCAGGGGGTGGAGTAGTCGCTGCCTCAATACAAAAAGGCAAGGCGACCGGTAGACGCCGTGGAGGCTCCCAGTCTAGGAGTCAAGTTGACCCCAACGCTCCTCCATGGGAGAAAGCGGGTCTAACCGAGGATGTGTGGAGAGACCGGTACACCCGACAGACTTGTGTTCGTTATAGCCAATATGCCCATGATCAATTCAAGTGCCGTAACAAAAGGTGACCGAGAAGATCCCACCTACGATGGGGCAGGTGTTGGGATCCTCCGCCCCCGTTGGTAGCAATGTGGCCAGCAGTTTTGACACTACTCCGGGAAACGCGTCGGGCAAGTAGGAATAGTAGCTGTTCCTGCTAGGGTCGAGGTGGTGGACACACCCTCACCATCTCGAGAGATGGCCCAAGCTACTGACTCCATTGTCATCCCGCAAACACATTCAGACTCATCGAGCCCCTATTCGACGACGGCGTTCGAGTCCTCAGAGGAGCTAGAGGAGTGGCCCGCGAGCTTCTCGGACGGCATTGGCAAAGCCCCTAGGAGTGAGATGTTTGTTGGCGAGGTAGAGGACCTGACCCGCGAGCTTCTTGGACGGCATTGGCAAAAGCCCCTAGGAGTGAGATGTTTGTTGGCGAGGTAGTCATTGGCGGTCGTGAGGCCTGGGCCTATTATGACACTTGCTCGACTAGGAACTTCATTAGTCGTGAGTGCGTTGAGAGGCTGCACTTACAGGGGCAAGTGCAACGCCCGAGTCGACTTGTGGAGTCGACCTGTGCCAACAAACAGCGCATGGTAGTCCATGACTACCTACAAAACGTTGAGTGTTGTTTCTCGTACGCGGGACGGGAATTGAGACATCGCGTCTCGTTTCTAGTTAGCGATGATCTCCCTATAGATATCTTGTTAGGTATGTACTACCTCTCCGTTGCACAGCCCCAGTTTGACTGTGACCGAAAAGTGGTCAAACACACTTTGCCATGTGGGGGGACCGCCAGGTTACGTAAGTTCAAAGCTAGTAATCTGATTGAGTCCTACGGATGCATGTGTGCGGCCGCGTTCTATAACTATTATAAGCAAAATCCGAAGGAGGGTATGTATCTAGTCTATGTCTCTGCAGCAGGCGAGCCCGTGAAAATGCCGCCGGAGATAGAGGGAGTAGTTGCTAAATACCCTAATCTATTTGAGGAGCCGAAAGGGGTTGTTGAGAGGGAGGTCGTCCACACAATAGAGATTATCCCAGGGTCTAGCATCCCGAAGGGTAGGATCTATTGGATGTCTCCAGGCGAGCTTGATGAGCTTCGCCGACAATTCAAGGAACTCGTAGAGAAGGGTTGGATCCGACCGAGTATCTCCCCGTACGGATCCCCAGTCTTATTTGTGCCGAAGAAGGGGGGAACTCTGAGGATGTGCATTGACTATAGGGTCCTCAATGCTATCAGTGTCTAGAACCGAGAGCCTCTACCTTGCATCGATGACTTGCTAGATGGAGTGCAAGGGTGCCGGTACTTCAGTAAGATAGATCTGAAGTTTGGGTAACATCAGATTGCAATCTGGCCCGAGGATCAACACAAAACCGCATCTCAGACCAGGTACGGTGTCGGGACTGGTGAGTCCCGAATGATTTCTCGTCACTCCAGAGACTGTATTTGACCAATTTGTGCACGACAGAGAAAATCGGAGGAAGGAATGCTGGAAAGATCGAAAGCGTGAATACAGACAACAGGAGCCTAGAGGCTGTCCGGAGTCGTCAAGACCACCAAAGCTAAAGAGGAATTGTCTAAGCGGGAAGCGGCAAAGGAATGTGAGAGAATAGCAAGGGTGACTCCTTCCCCAAGGACGGAGGATGGCCGCCGGGAAGTTGGTAGCAGCATGAGAGGTGCATAGCAAGGGAAGGAAGAAAGTGGGAAGGGACAGGGCGCAAGGCGCTGATGTGACGTGGCGGTGGGTGGGCCGAGGAGATCGCAGGTTAGGGGGAACCGACGCCCGGAGCGGAACGGCGTGTGGGACACAAAGGGAACGGGGGGAGCCGGAGACCGCCGCAAGGCGGAAGGACGGCAGGAGCACCAAGGGAGGATGTGGTACAAGAGGGGCAGGAGTGTCGGGGACCACATGGGATCGGAAGACGAGGCGGTACCGGCAGGACAAAGAGCCGGGGACCATGCGGGACCAGGGGACGGCGTGGTGCCGGCAGGGCRAAGTGCCGGGAACCGCGTGAGACCAAGGGAAAGACGTAATGCAGGCGGGCCGAAGTGCGAGGGACCACGTGGGCCTAGATAAAATGGCGGCACCCGCGAAAACACTAGCAAGACGGGTATCAACGAGATGAAGTGTCGGGAGCCGCCAAAGGGGGCTTAAGGTCGGAGCCATCGGCGGAATAATCGACGACCAGCCCAAGGATGAGGGCGCGCGAGAGCGGGTCGTCAATCTGGATGACGCCGGAAAAAGGGGAGGGGCTAGGAACGATAAGAAAAAGAGGAGAAGTCGGGCGCTGACGGAAGTTGTCAGCGGAACGGAGGAGACGAGCGTGAGACGGGGAAGACGGAGGGTACCCGGGGCGACCCAAGGGGACCCTGGATCAAGTGCGACAACGATAAAAGTAAAATAACATGATATCAGGTGGACGGGATCGCCCAGGCCAGGGGTCGGGATGAAAATGATGAGTGCCGCCGCGGCAAGCGCCGGCGGGAGGTGCCGAGGGGAAAAGAGGGGGGGATAGAGGTATAGGAGGCCGACCAACAGCCTGGGTTATTCCGGACCAGCCAGGCCAAGAAAAACGAAGTTTCGAGGGCTCCACGTGGCGAGAAGGCTGGCTGGAGGAAATCGGAGCAAGGGGGTTTCAAACTGGAAGCGGCGGCAGCAAAAAGGAGCCTCCTTGGACCTTGGGGGTGCCACTAGTGCAGTCCGAGGTGTAACGGCCATATGCCTGCTGCAAAATCAGACCTTGGGTAGGGTCCAACAGTTGGAAAGAGGAGAAACAGCTGTTGGACACTTGGCCCTACAGAAATAAGAGAGGAAGGAGAGAAAAAGGGGAGAAAAAGGGGGAGAATGAGACAAAGGAGGAGGAATGAGTGGAGGAAAAAGTGCCGCCAGGTTGGGACTGCAACAGTAGGGACTGGCAGGTCTCAATGATGACCTCATCCCTCCTAGATCCTAGGAGGGCAGTCCGGATTGCAGAGATAAGGTCCTTGGGGCATTATCTCGGCAATATCTGAATTTTAGCAGCAAAAATAAGGGAAAATGCTGAGGTGAGTTGGCCGGCTCATTTTTGGGCCTTAGATCTGAATTCTGATCTTGCGGAGGAGGAGATCTAGCCGTTTTTGTGGGCTGACACAAAACGGCGAGCTCCGGAATGAGTTGGCAGCAAAATGGAGGGAAAACAAAGAGAGGAACAAGACAAAACTGCGAATTTCGCCCAAGGTCTGGGCCAGGTACATCAAAAAAATTGAAAGTGGGGGTAAAAGACTCAAATTTGGAGCAAGGGGGGCTTGGGAGTAGCTCGGAATGATGAAAACCATGGATCTCAGCCAAATCCAAGGCTGAGATTTGTGCCGCCACTTTGGAAAATGTAACGGCCTACTCACAAGAGGCCTAGACTAGAAAAAAATGAAAAACGGGCCTATAGGCCCTCAAATTTTGGTAAAGGCTGCGTTTTGGGGTAGTGGTACCCAAAAGGCGGCACTTTTTGAAGTGAAAAGAGGCCGGGGTAGGCCAAGGGGTAGTCCGAGAGGGTACCAGCCTCTCGGACTGCATGTACCTGGCCAAAATAAGGCCCAGGTACTCCCTGAGAGGCCAAAACCGGAAATTTGGCCCTTGGGGTACCTCGCTCCACCTAGAGGCACTTGGAGGGGCCTAGAGGTTGGGCGGTGCACCTGTTCCAGCCTATATAAGATGGAGGTGTAGGCCGCAACTATCATTTGAGAATGAGAGGTGCCCATGCTGCCCAAATGAGTCCTGGAAAGAGTTCGAGAGGGAGAGAACCAAGGGAGTGAGGGTCGGAGCTAGCCTGTAGCCTGGCTATGGTGGTAAGGCTGAGAAAGGTGACCTAGAGGCTACGAGGGAGCAAGGAGAGTGGTCCGCCATAGCCCGCAGGCTGTGAAGTAGGGGGAGAGGCTGAAAGGGGTCCGCATATCCCTTCTAGAGGGAAGGACTCCACAGCCTTAGAGGTAGGAACCTGCCATAGCTAAAGGAGAGGTGTGAGGGAAGGAGGAGAGAGCTTGGGAGAGAGGAAAAGCCATACCCAGGAGGCTAGAACCAAGCATTGGGACGCCACTGCCTAGAGACCAGCCAGAGGTGAGTGAAAGAGGAGGGAGGCCTCCTCCTTCTTCTTCTTCTTCTGCTTCCTTTCCTTCTTCTTCTTCTTCTTCTTCTTCTTCTTCGTCTTCTTCTTCTTCCTCTCCTTCTTCCTTTTCTTTTTCTCCTCCTTCTCCCCCTCCTCCTCTTTTCAAAACTGCAATTTTTGCTGATTTGGGAGGGTGTATGTGTTGCGCTGCATCTTGGGATACTTCGGTGATGTTTCCCCTAGTGTAAGATGATGTCAAACTTGTCATCTTGTTGATTTGGGTGCTGGGGTGTAAAGCGCTTCATCTTGTGATACTTCGGTGATCTTTCCCCTAGTGTAGATGATGTCAAACTTGTCATTTTGTTGATTTGGGTGCCTGGGGGTGTTGAGCTGCATATTGGGATACGTCGATGATGTTTCCCCTAGTGTATATGATGTCAAACTTGTATCTTGTTGATTTGGGTGCTGGGGTGTAAAGTGCTTCATCTTGTGATACTTCGGTGATGTTTCCCCTAGTGTAGATGATGTCAAACTTGTCATTTTGTTGATTTGGGT